CTAGATCCAAAAAGACACAAGCTCAAACTTAGGACCTCTTCATTGGCACAGAATTGAGCCAACCAAGGCATTCTTTTTCCCCCCACATATATTCAAAAAACTCTGATGGAGCTTTTGCCATGTATTAGGCCTGTGCCAAGAGCTGCAGCAGATACAAAGATGATTAAGGTGCAGTAGGCCACTCCATAGAAGTAACATTCTAATAAAAATAATACCCTCTGGTCTTACTATATTCCCTGCATTGCCAGTACTTACTCTGTCTTTGGTCCTAGTCTGCTTCATATTATGTACATTTTTTTATCCCCTCTGCTTACCCCAAGGCCCAGCCAGAACTAGGTGCTCGATGCAACTTTGAATGAACATGAATTTTTCTTCTTGACTATTATGCTAGCAGTCATAAAAGAGCCAGTTCTCCAAACTGAAGTTTTTTGTCAAAGTTTACTGAGCTCATATCAAAATAATTTCAACTGCCCAAGCCAAATAAAGAATAGCACAGCCCTAGCTGGTTTGGCTCAGTGGATAAAGCATCAGCCTGTGAACTGAAGGGTCCCAGGTTCGATTCCGGCCAAGGGCACAAGCCTGGGTTGCATGCTCAATCCCCCGTAGGGGGCATGCAGGAAGCAGCTGATCAATGATTCTCTCTCATCAATGATTCTCTCTCATCATTGATGTTTCTATCTCTCCTCCCTTCCTCTCTGAAATCAATAAAGAATTATATATTTTTTTAAAAAGAATAGCACATTCATAACTCACAAGTCTATTATGACAATAAAATAAAAAAAATTTAAGGGGATTTACAAAAATGAAAGGTGCTTTGTATGATAATCTCTGCATTTGCACTGCCCTCTTTACAATCATGCGCGGCAACGCATATATGAAGGCGGTCCCATCTACACTAATAAAAGAGAAACATGAAAATTGGTGTCACTCCGCTATGCCCACCAGCCAATCAGGGCGAGTATGCAAATTAACCCAACAAAGGTGGCAGTTAATTTACATATGCAGGCTCGGAACGAAGACTGAAGGCTGAAGACGACTGAAGAGGCTTGACTTCTCTGCTGCAGCTGGAGCGAAGGCCTGGGTCCCGTGTGCCAGAGGAAAACCGGTGCCGGCAGCCAGGGGAAGGAAGGCCTATTGCACAAATCTCTTCATGTAACGGGCCTCTAGTTAGATTATGATGAAGCTGAAAATTTTCTATTGCCTAGTGATGTCATAATGTCATAGCACAACACATTACACAAATACTCACCATTGTGTTACAGTTGCCTACAGTATTCAGTACAGTAACGTGCCATATAGGTTTGTAGCATGTACTGTAGAGGAATAGAATTTGTGACCCCAAAATGTGTCTATTTGCATAAGGATTGTTTTAGGCCAGTTAATTTGAACAAACAGCTGACATGGGAGAAACTCTGAAAACCAAGTAGAAGTTACTCTTTGTAAAAAACATTTACTACATTGTAAGGGAAATCTACACTTGTAAGGGTGTCTGCCTTGCTATACCAGGAGTTATCTATAGAAACTCTTATCATGCTAAAGGCCAAGATTTAAATCTGCATAACAACCTTACCCTTTTTTTTTACTGTGTTTTTTCCTGATAACCTCCTATAACTCACTCCTCCCACCCTCAACATCTTTTCAGCTGAAGATGGTATTTAAGGTAGTGGCTTCAACCATTTTGGTGAATTACTCAACTTTCTTGGGTCTCTCCCAAGTATACTGGAGGTATATATGTTATTAAACTTTTGTTTGTTTTTATACTACTAATCTGTCTTTTAATACAGGGATGCCTCAGTCAAGAACCCAGGAAGGTAAAAGGAAAATTATTTTCTCTCCCCTACAGAGCAGTAGGCTATACCAGTGGTTCCCAACATGGGGCACACATCCCACAGGGGGGCAATTTGATTTTTAAGGTGGGCAATTCAAGAATGAGTTATTAACAGTGAATTTTTTGCATTTCTTATGGTTCTAAGGGCCTCATATACAGTATATAAATATATGTTTTGACATATGCATTTCAGTTCTCTATTATATGTTTTGAAACTTTGCTATTTTTTCATATCACTTCATATTATTATTTTTTAATAATTTATTAGTGATTTCTTCCTCAATACTTCAACTGTCCTTTTATTCTTTTATTTTCTCTTTCATGGCTGCCATGTTCTTTTGAAGCTTGTTTAGACCAAGTTAATGGCCTTTTAGGCTTTCTCCACGTGAACAGGTGTTCACTTTTTGTATAATAAGAATTATATGTCACAGGGAGGCATCAGGATTTTAGAGATGCTTAGGTGGGGCATGGCCAAAAAAAGGTTGGGAACTACTGGGCTATACCATATAGCCTAGGTGTGTAGTAGACTATTCCATCTAGATTTGTGTAAGTGCACTCTGATGTTCAAACAAGAAAATCGCCTAACAATGCATTTCTCAAAATGTACCTCCATCATTAAGCAGGGTATGGTTGTACTAGTGTTGGCTTTATTTCATGTTTATTTAACAAATATTTATTGAACATTGATCTTGTGCTAGTGTTAGTGGGGAAACCGCACCAGAATGTTACCAACAATCGGACCTGGGTTCAGCAACCTCGGTACTTGAGTTCTGGTAAGAAATAATTCAGAGCCAAGACTCAAATACAAGTAAAAGTTAGAAAGTCACAGAGGTAGAAAAAGTGAGCCAGCTAGGCTGCATGGGCTCAAGGAACAAGTTACAGAGGCAAAAGAAGAACCCTGGGAACTTAGGAGAAGAAAGCAAGGATAATGCTCCTGGTGGAAGGGGAGGGGGAAAAGCGGGCACGCTCAAGGGCAGGGGAGGGGAAGCAGAGGGAGATGGGAAAGTGGAACACTCTGAGTCTTTTCTGAGTCCTTTGTCTGAAGGGGTTTTATCCATTTCCCAAAGACAGGGATTTTAGGGGACATCTCAGAGGAGGATCTGAACAGAATTTTATCAGCTTTCTAGGTGTATCCTCTCTCATCATGGTCTCCACTGATTAGTAGTGCCAGGGCCGGGGGTCATTTGTCATCACAGCTGGTCCTGATGTCAGCCTTGGCATCACCCTGCCTGGCCTTGTTGTTTTGGGGGCCTGGAGCTGAAACATAGCTGAGGCCTAGATGTTATCTCAGGGCTTAATGCTCAAGGGAGTCATATGGTGCTATTCTCTGGCCCCCTTGTTTTTCCTCTTGGGGGAGGAGAGGGTCTACCACATGACTAGTGACATGCCCCCGGAGGAAAGATCGGGAGAGAGTCTGAACTGCATGACCAGACATGCTAGGGGAGGGAAGGTCACTCTGGGGGACAAGGTCCCACCCCAGTTTTGCCCATTCCACCCGGCAACTTTCTGTACTGGCCTGTTGTTTCTATTCTACTCATGCCTGTCTAATTGCCTAGGAGCTGGAGATGCAAGGATAAACAAAATTTAGTTTCTTCCTTCATAGAAGTTACATTCTAATGAGCACTGTGGGTCAAAGTTGTTTAAAAAATTCAATCAAGTAAAATTTTAAGAATATGTTTTTATTGATTTTAGAGAGAGAGGGGAGGAAGAGAGAGAGATAGAAACAATCGGCTGCCTCTGGCACGCCCCTACTGGGGATTGAGCCCACAATCCAGGCATGTGCTCTGACCCAGGATTGAACTGTGACCTCCTGGTTCATAGGCCAATGATCAACCACTGAGCCACACCAGCCTGGCTCATCTGCGTAAATCTGAAGATCTAATTGGCTTTATTAAATGATTCACTGCGGCAACATCCCATGTAGCAACAAGGATGCTTCGAAGGGGTTGTATGAAATGGAGCTATTAACAAAAGAAGAAACTGATGTTTTTTTAGACCAGGACTTCTTTAAGGAGAGAGGAATGTAAGGGTTTTTATCATGCAGATTGCCTTTTCATTCTTGGGGAGGGGGTGGGTGGGTAGGGGGAAAACATGACAGATTTACCTTATTTGTGCTTGACCAGAAAATTCCAGACTTTATTAAGACTACATTTCTGGGAGAGGTTGAAATTGCAATTAAATTGGGTATTAAATCTAGGTTTGATATGGCTTTTACACTGAGTGATACTATTTTGGGGCCGTGGTTTTCTCTTTAAAAAGGTAAAAGGAATTTGAAAGTCATTACCTACCCAGTCCCATCACTGCATAGAATAGATGCCGGAGGAGCCAGCAGCATTTCACCTTTCCATGCTTTTTTGCTCCTCACTGCCAAGCTCATTGCCCTTCACCCCACACAGAAGTCCTTTCCCCTCGGGGGAATATTATATAAGTAATATTTAAAAGATTGGACCCTTTCTGCAAGTAATGGCAACAGCTTTTCTTAGTCTCTGGGTGGATGGATAACAGGTCCAGTTTATTCCCTCTTGTATGGTACCAGTAGTAGAGATCCT